ATTCTTCATATCCATGACCATGGAATGTTTCTACATTTGTTTGTGTCCTCTCTTATTTCCTTGAGCAGTGGTTTGCAGTTCTTGAAAAGGTACTTCACATCCCTTGTAAGTTGTATTCCTGGGTATTTTATTCTCTTTGTAGCAATTGTGAGTGGGAGTTCACTCATGATTTGGCTGTTTGTCTATTATTGGTGTACAGGAATGCTTGTGATTTTTGCACATTAATTTTGTATCGTGAGACTTTGCAGAAGTTGCTTATCACCCTGAAGAAATGTGAAGTTGAGATGATGGGGTTTTCTAAATATACAATAATGTCCTCTGCAAACAGAGAAAATTTGACTTCCTCTCTTCCCATTTGAATACGTTTTATTTCTTTCTCTTGCCTGATTGCCCTGGTCAGAACTTCCAATAATACGTTGAATAGGAGTGGTGAGAGAGGGCATCCTTGTCTTGAGCCAGTTTTCAAAGGGAATGCGTCCAGCTGTTGCCCATTAGTATTATATTGGTTGTGGGTTTATCCTAAATAGGTCTTATGACTTTGAGATACAGGCCATCAATACCTAGTTTATTGAGAGTTTTTAGCATGAAGGGGTGCTGAATGTTATCAAAGGCCTTTTCTGCATCTATTGAGATAATCAAGTGATATTGTCATTGGTTCTGTTTATATGATAGATTACATTTATTGACTTGCAATGTTGAACCATCCTTGCATCCCAGGAACGAAGCTGACTTGATCGTGGTGGATAAGCTTTTTGATGTGCTGTTGGATTCAATTTGCCAGTATTTTATTGAGGATTTTTGCATCAAAGTGCATTAGAAATATTAGCCTAAAATTTTTGTTATTGTTGTGCCTCTGCCAGGTTTTGGTATCAGGATGATGCTGGCCTCAAAAAATGAGTTAGGGATGAGACCCTCTTTTACTATTGGTTGGAATAGTTTCATTAGGAATGGGACCAGTTCTTCTTTGTACCTACCTCTGGTAGAATTCAGCCGTGAATCCCTCTGGTCCTGGGCTTTTTTTAGTTGGTAGATTACTAATTACTGCCTCAATTTCAGAACTTGTTATTGGTCTATTCAGGGATTCAAATTCTTCCTGGTTTACTCTTGGATGGTGTATGCCTCTGGGGATTTATCCTAGATTTCCTAGCTTATTTGCATAGATGTGTTTAGAGTATTCTTTGATGGTAGTTGGTATTTCTCTGGGATCGGTGGTGATATCCCCTTTACCATTTTTTATTGTGTGTATTTGATTCTTCTCTCTTTTCTTCTCTATCAGTCTGACTAGTGATCTATTTTGCTAATCATTTCAAAAAATCAGCTCCTGGATTCACTGATTTTTTTTTTGAAGGGTTTTTCATGTAGCTATCTCCTTCAGTTCTGCTCTGATCTTAGTTATTTCTTGTCTTCTACTAGCTTCTGAATTTCTTTCCTCTTGCTTCTCTAGTTCTTTTAATTGTGATGTTAGGGTGTTGATTTTAGATATTTTCCACTTTCTCCTGTGGGCATTTAATGCTACAAATTTCTCTCTAAACAATGTTTTAGCTGTGTCCCAGAGATTCTGGTACATTGTGTCTTTGTTCTCACTGGTTTCAAGGAACTTATTTATTTCTGCCTTAATTTATTTGCCCAGTAGGCATATAGGAGTAGGTTGCTTTCCATATAGTTGTGTAGTTTTGAGTGAGTTTTTAAATTCTGAGTTCTAATTTGATTGCACTGTGGTCTGAGAGACTCTGTTATGATTTCCATTCTTTTGCATTTGCTAAGGAGTGTTTTACTTAGAATGATGTGGTCAATTTGAGAAATGTGTGATGTGGTGCTGAGAATAATGTACATTCTGTTGATTTGGGGTGGAGAGTTCTGTAGCTGTCTATTAGGTCCACTTGGTCTAGAGCTGAGTTCAAGTCCTGAATATGCTTGTTAATTTTCTGTCTCATTGATCTGTCTAATATTACAGTGGGGTGTTAAAGTCTCCCACTATTATTATATGGGAATCTAATTCTCTTTGTAGATCTTTAAATACTTGCTTTATGAATTTGGGTGCTCCTATATTGGGTGCAAATATATTTAGGATAGTTAGCTCTTCTTGTTGCATTGATCCCTTTACCATTATGTAATGCCCTTCTTTGTGTTTTTTTGAATTTTGTTGGTTTAATGTCTGTTTTATCACATCACAGACTAGGATTGCAACCACTGCTTTTTTTTTTTTCTTTCCATTTGCTTGGTAAATATTCCTCCATCCCTTTATTTTGAACCTATGTGTGTCTTTGCATGTGACATGGGTCCATGAGTCTACCAAATAGAGCACACTGATGGATCTTGACTCTTTATCAAATTTGCTAGTCTGTGTCTTTTAATTGAAGCTTCATTTAGCCCATTTGCCTTTAAGATTAATATTATTATGTGTGAATTGGATCCTGTCATTATGATGCTAGCTGGTTATTTTGCCCATTAGTTGATGTGGTTTTTCATAGTGTCAATGGTCTTTACAATTTGGTATGTTTTTCCAGTGGCTGGTACCAGTTTTCCTTTCCATATTTAGAGCTTCCTTCAGAAGCTCTTGTAAGACAGGCCTGGTGGTGACAAAATCTCTCAGCATTTGCTGGTCTGTAAAAGATTTTATTTCTCCTTCGCTTATGAAGCTTATTTTGGCCAGATATGAAATTCTGGGTTGAAAATTCTTTTCTTTAAGAATGCTGAATACTGGCCCCCACTCTCCTCTGGCTTTTAACAGGGTTACTGCAGAGAGATCTGCTATTAGTCTGATGGGCTTCCCTTTGTGGGTAACCTGACCTTTCTCTCTGGTTGCCCTTATCATTTTTTGCTCTTCTCAAGGAGTATCTTTGTGGTGTTCTCTGTATTTCCTGAATTTGAAGGTTGGCCTGTCTTACTAAGTTGGGGAAGTTCTCCTGGATAATATCCTGAAGAGTGTTTTCCAACTTGGTTCCATTCTCCCTGTCACTTTGAAGTATACCAATCAGACGTAGGTTTGTTCTTTTCACATAGTCCCACATTTTTTGGTGGCTTTGTTCATTCCTTTTCATTCCTTTTTCTCTAATCCTGTTTTCAAGTCTTATTTCATTAAGTTGATCTTCAATCTCTGGTATTCTGTCTTCCCTTGACTAATTCGGCTATTGATACTTGTGTAAGCTGCTTGAAGTTCTTGAACTGTGTTTTTCACCTCCATCAGGTCATTTATGTTCTTCTCTAAATGGGTTATTCTTGTTTGCAATTCCTCTAACCTTTCTTCAAGGTTCTTAGCTTCCTTGCATTGGGTTAGAATATGCTTCTTTAGCTCAGACGAGTTTGTTATGACCTACCTTTTGACAACTACTTCTGTCAATTCGTCAAACTCATTCTCTGTCCAGTTTTGTTCCATTTGTGGCAAGGAGTTGTGATCCTTTGGAGGAGAAGAGGTATTCTGGTTTTTGGAATTTTCAGCCTTTTTACACTGGTCTTTCCCCATCTTTGTGGATGTATATACCTTTGGTATTTGATGTTGGTGACCTTTAGATGGGGTTTTTGTGTGGATAATGCCCTTTTCGTTGATGTTGATGGTATTCCTTTCTGTTAATTAATAGGCCCTTCTGCTACAGGTCTGCTGGAGTTTGCTGGAGGTCCACTCCAGACCCTATCTGCCTCGGTATCAACAACAAAGGCTGCAGAACAGCAACCACTGCTGCCTGTTCCTTCCTCTGGAAGCTTTATCCCAGAGGGGGGTCTGCCAGATGCCACCTGGAGCGCTCCTATATGAGGTGTCTGTCAAACCTTGCTGGGAAGTTTCTCCCAGTCTGGAGGCACAGGGGTCAGCGACCCATTTGAGGAGGCAGTCTGTCTCTTAGCTGAGCCCTGGTGCTGTGCTGTTCTCTTGAGAGCCAGCAGGCGGAAATGTTTAAGTCTGCTGAAGCTGCACACACAGCCGCCCCTTCCCCCAGGCGCTCTGTCCCAGGGGATGGGATTTTGATCTAAAAGCCCCTGACTGAGGCTGCTGCCTTTCTTTCAGAGATACCCTGCCCAGAAACGAGGAATCTAGAGAGGCATTCTAGCATGGTGGTGGGCTCTGCCCAGTCCTAACTTTCCTGCATCTTTGTTTACACTGTGAGGGGAAAATTGCCTACTCAAGCCTCAGTGATGGCAGACGCCCCTCCCCACACCAAGCTCAAGTGTCTCAGATCAACTTCAGACTGCTGTGCTGGCAGTGAAAATTTCAGGCCAGTGGATCTTAGCTTCCTGGGCTCCATGGGGGTTAGATCTGCTGAGCTAGACAACTTGGCTCCCTGGCTTCGGCCCCCTTTTCAGGGGAGTGAGTGGTTCTGTCTCGCTGGTGTTCCAGGTGCCACTGGAGTATGGAAAAAAAACCTCCTGCATCTAGCTCAGTGTCTGCCCAAAGGGCTGCCCAGTTTTATGCTTGAAACCCTGGCCCTGGTGCTGTAGGTACCTGAGGGAATCTCCTGGTCTGTGGGTTGAGAAGATGGTGGGAAAAGCACAGCATGTAGGCTGGAATGCACTGTTCTTCACAGTACAATCCCTCACAGCTTCCCTTGGCTAGGGGAGGGAGTTCCCCTACCCTTGCACTTCCCATGTGAGGTGATGCCCCACCCTGCTTCGGTTTGCTCTCTGTGGGCTGCACCCCCTGTCTAACCAGTCCCAGTGAGATGAGCCAGATACCTCAGTTGGAAATGCAGAAATCACCTGCCTTCTGCATTGATCTCGCTGGGAGCTGCAGACCGGAGCTGTTCCTATTAGGCCATCTTGCCCCACCCCCCGACTTCATTTTTCTTCTTAACAAATTCTCATCTTGAAATAAATGCAAACTATTAGGAGATTGTTCTTCCTTCCAGGGCAATTTATGGCATTTTTAAAAACACGTACAATCACTCACTTTTCCTGGTTTGTAAAGGAAATATAAAATTTAAAAAAAAGTCCCCTTAAGCTGCTTTATGAAAAAGGTTTCAAATTAATATTGAGTAGAAAAGAAATGGTACTTAATAAATACTACTTACATTCGCACAGTGTAAGGCTAAAGCACAAAAGACGGCAAACATTTTAAAGTTGTTTTCATCTGTTTTAGAGAAGGCACTGCCGCTTATTTTGTTGACCATTTGCACGACACCTATCACGCTTCCTCGGCTGACGATGGGCATGCACAGGATGTTCCGCGTGGTGTAGCCTGTGTACAAGTCTACTTCTCTGTAGGGGGCGACAAAACCAAAAATAACCAAAAACAAACAAAGGCAGAAGTAACAAACGACACAGTCAATCATAAATCTCCCCTCAGTCTTTGCAATTTATATGCTTCTATTATATACGACTGTAATGGCACTTTTAGCTTCCAAATTCAGGGACAGTAACATTTCAAAGTGCTTTATTAAAACCTTTGCAAAAATATTCTAACCCATTTGTTCTTTTGTTTCCAACAGAGTTTTCTAGGGCAGTCTCTAAGTGGCTTTCAGCTTCTCATCTGAAATATCCAGCAGTCTGTTTACTAAGTAAACAGATTTAAAAAAGTGAATTCAGAGGAGAAATACAATTAAATTTGGTAAAATAACATGATCCTTTGAAGTTGGTCATGTTCATGAGAGACATCACTTGCTAAACCAACTTATAGAGTTTCTACTTTAAAAGCTTAGAGCAGTGGGCAGCAAATTGCACCCAGGGGCCAAATCAGCCCTCTCTTGTTTTATAAAGTTGTATTAGAACACAGTCACACCATTCATTCATAGATTGTCTGATTCTGCCATCACCATACAAGGCTGAGCTATGGACTTGTGACAAGGACCTTGGCGTCTGTAACGGCAAAAATACTCACCATTTGATCCTTAATAGAAAAAGTTTGCTGACTCCTATTATGACGAATCACAATATCTACTAAACACTGCTGTCAAACCACTGTAAATATTACTCTCAACAGTCACAGTATCAACCCTAAGGCTTTCCATTTCTAGAGGTTCATTAAAATCAAATTATATAAGTTAGATTTGCATACATTATGAAAGTTTTTTGAAAACAGGACAGGGTAAGTTCCATAGAAACAGTGATAGAGCTAATGGGTAGGTAGTTACATGTGAGTCTTCAGTGCCTGGCTTTTCTCATTTAGCATAATGGTTTTTGAGATTCATCCACGTTGTTGCATGTATTAGTGGTTAAGTCCTTTTTATTGCTGAGTTGTATCTCTATTGAATAGACATATCATATTTTGTTTATTCATTCACTAAATAAGGGACAGTATTATGTGTTAATAGGCGGTTTTTGGCAATTATGAATAATGCTGCTTTGAAGATCTGCATACAAGTCCTGTAGCACCATGTTTTCACTCTTCTTGTAGTAATATCTAGAAGTGGAGCTGATCAGTGGACTGTACAGTAAGTGTATGTTTAACTTTTCAAGAAACTGCAAACTTGTTTTCCCAAGCAGTTGTACCACAATATATTCCTACCAGCAACATATGAGGATACTCGTTTCTCCACATCCTGGCCAATGTTTTAAAGTCACAGCCATTCAAGCTGGTGTACAGTGAGGTCTCATGTCAATTACATTTATATTCCCCTCACTTCAAACATTTTTCTTGTGTTTAGTGATCAGTTGTATATCTCCTTTTGTGGGGCATCTGTTAAAATTATCTGCCCTTTTTATTACATTGGGTTATCTTCTCATTGTTATGTTGGAAGAGTTTTCATATATTAGATGTATTTTGTCAGATATATGTTTTACAGATATTTTCTCTGAATCAGTTGCTTGCATTTTCATTTTTTAATAGTCTGACTCATACATTTTTACATAAAGATTAGACATAAGGATATGCAAATATTTAAAAATTTTAAGTACTAAATGATGTCTTTGGATTTTTAGAAAACATAAGCTTTCAGTATACCCTTAATTTATTGACAGTATATATTACTAGAATATTGCTGTGCTTTTATATGAGTTGTGTATATTTGACATCAATTGATCAAATACCTGAATAAACTGCCTATTGCTTATGTTGTCTTTTAAAGGGAACAACGTGTTGGAATTAACTAAACACTGCTGTCAAACTACTATAAATATTACTCTCTAACAGTCATAGCAGCAATCCTGAGACTTTCCATTTCTAGAGGTTTATTAAAATCAAATTATATAATTGGGTTTGCAGCTCTCCAAAGAAAGTCAAAACAAAACAAAAAATCTTTATAAGCTATCCTAATATCCATCTTTAATAACATCCAATAAAACATGCAGCTTCTTTAGTTACTTTGGGTCAGGTAAATTTTCCAGATCCTTTATGAAAATTATCTGTGATCTTAAAACAACAGCAACAAAACTGGCATTATTATACTCATCTTAATGATAAGGAAACTGAGGCTCAGAGGGATTAAGTAACTTATGCTAGGTCAGTTAAGAGCTAATACATGACAAAACCGTGACTCAAACCGTGACCTACTCATCTCAAAAGTGTGCATATTTCTTACTACGTGTTGTGGCCTTTGAGCACGTGATTTGATGGAGAATATGTTCATGACAAAATCATGACACTATAATACAAAAATCCCACAGTAGCTCTATATATTAAAACTTCTGCCTATCAGTTGTTTTTATAACATTCTAAACTCCTGTATCTAGATATCATTATACATCAGTGGATTAGAATCCATCATTTTATAAATATCTGAACATACTGACTAGTGATAGCAGAGTTGGTTCAAAGAAGAAAACTTAGGAGGAAAGAACTGAATTGGGACATGGAGAACTCCACCTCCAGGGAAGAGGGAGCAGCTGAGTGGGACATTACAGAAGAAACCAATGGGGGCATCAGCAATTCCTTACCTGTTAAAGCGTGGGTCTGCATAGGCATCTGGAATGTTCAGGACTTCCCCTGTTCTTGCTACTTGGCCAGCAATTCCTTTCTCTATTGAAAATCTGCATATGTAAAAACAGAAGGACATGCTAATTAAAATATGGATGCTGTAGAATAATTTAAAATATTCCATTGTTATCTATATTTAATTAAAAGCATTGTTTTACTTAAATGCATGTATTAATTCTACATTTACATACTGCAAATCACCTTATAAAATATGTAAAAATAAAGCAGAAAAGCATTACAGAGTAATCACTCAAGAACCTTAAAATATTAATTCACAAATTGAGATCAAACAATCAACTAGTGTCCTCCTGCTCTGACCAATAATAATCCTTCCTGTTTGCAAAGTACCTTATAATTGACAAGATACTTAAACATAATTTTTTTTAGTGGATTCTCAATGAAGTGTGAATGAAGGCCTACATGGCTCCAGTAATTTGCCAACATTCATCAGATACCAGTGGCACAATGAAAACTAGAATGCTGGTCTCTACCACTGTGCTTTCTTTCACATATATTACCAAACTCACAGGTTACCTCTGAGCTTGAGATATTATACAGAACTGAATTTAATGGTGTTTGCAGTGTAAGTACTATACAGAAATAACACAATGTACGACTTCTAGCATTTTTACCTAATTTGTTAACATTTAAAACAATCAAAATACAAGCATTATCTGTTTTATATCTAATATCAGTAATTTTCCTTTGTACAAATAATTGCATACTTATATTTTTCTCATTACTATACTATCATTACACATGCACTCATTTCAAAATTTGCTTAAGAAAGATGCCTATAAGTCACAATATCTACATTTTCCATAGTTCAAAAATAATTTCCATATTACATTATCAACATTATAGGAAATAATCATTAATGAAATAAAGCTTCACCTCTGAGGACCATCAGAAACACTCAAAATATAATTCATACAAAAGAGAATCTACTTAAAACACCAAAGAGTGAACCAAACACTGCATAAAACTCATGGTTGCCTTTTTTCCTGGTTTTCTTGTGCTTTGAACAACATAGACATAATCAATCAGACTGCCACAAGCAAAGAGTAGCAGAATCCATTTCATGATTTATGCTTGTTTGTGCTGGTCTGAGAGTAGTCTGAACTATAACTTTTGTTCATGCTCTCTGCGGTTTGCTAACTATGGTCAGTGAAAGACCATAATTAAGAAGCAATCCTTATGTAAATGGCTGCCATTAAGCAGTCATCTGAGAGTTACAGCAAATCACACTCTCTTGTGTTTTTCTTATGCTTATAAATACAGGCTTTATTTTCAAAATTAAATCAATACCAGCAGTGTTAGGGAACACTCAAATCTTCAGCAAGAGAAATGGCTTATCTAAATGACTATATCCAGACTGCCACACTGAGATCTAGCAACAAGAACAACAGAATATCCAACAACAAATAGACAAAAAATGTTTAAAGCCCAAGTAGCAATACAGTGCCCATAAATCAGAGTTACATGAATATGGAATATACAGGAAGTGCTGAGAGGCAGAGAGTGGCAGGACCCCACGGAGGGGCACACGTTGAATTTCCTTGACATTAGTTTCCTTTTATGATAGACTGCCCAAATATATAGCAATCCTTAATTAAGAAGACACAGTGTTTTACTGAAATGTTGTCATTACCAGAGAACTTTATGGTGTTATACAGAAAAGCAGTTAAACAAGACACATAAAGCAAAAGAAATGCAAATGTCTAAAATGATTTTCTCAACTTTTGAATGTTAAGCTTGATTCTGAAACGTTTTGTCAGAGTGCTCCTTTTGTAGGTTTCCAGGTGTGATATGAGCGAGCCCCCATGCCTCCATCAGCAAAATAAACTCCATTCTGTTCATTTAAGTGACAATGGCTGCCACTTAAAAAAACAAAGACTTTAGTTTCAAGATGCAACACAAGTGTGCTACGTGATTGATTAAAACAAGTGGTCAGTTACAGAGTGTATTTAAGTCATCAAATATACCAGATCCATTTCTACTACTGACTGGACTGTCAGGACATAGGCTGGGAAGAGGTAGGGGCCAAATTGGATAAGCACACCTTTTCTCTGGGACATGGGAAAACCTGCAGATTCCAGGTGGAGTGTACCTTTACCTACCTGGGAGCACTAGAAAGTTTTTCCAACATGATTTCCAAAAGGACCGCCTCCGGAAGACGGCATTTCCAGGAGTGACGCTAAAGCTTCCTAGGCGCTGTTTCGCTGGCACTGACTGCAATGTCATTCCCAGAAGTACTACCTTCAGGAGGCGGGTCCTGGTGGGAATGATATCACAGTATGACAAGTATTGTCAGCATACCTGTGAATAGGCACAGAAAAATGGGTAACAGAACACCTGCACATCTATCATAAGAGGATAGGACATTCTACTTCTAGCTGTACCTTATCTCTTTGGTCTTCTTGAAGACAGGTTTTCCTTCCTTTTCCTCTCCAATATCAAAAAGGTCTGAATACAACTCCTTGTTCTTATGGTCTACCTGGAAAAGTGCACAACGATCGGCATTCACCAGGTTTTTTGCATATATCTAAAGACAAATGACAAAATAAGAGTAAGCCAAAGAGAAATTCAAAGAACTTACAGGTAAACTTCATCATAAAATAAATATTAATTTCAGCTGTCCTATAGTCCCACTGGATGGTATTAGCATTTTATGTAAATAAACATACAAGTATATGAATACAACATATATATGATATAAAAATCACTGTTATGTGTTAATACTAGCAGATACCAAGAGCATACACAGCTGATATGCATCCCTCCAGCACAGCAGTATGGATGCATATCAGCTGTGTATTCTGTTACCAACTGACACTTCCATTTCAGTTGTTAAGCAGCTGCTGGCTAAACTTCCCGAGGCTCTTCCGCCATCCTAACTCCTCTTCCAGAGCCTTTCAGGCCTCCCCTGGTGCCTGGATCTGAGCCTCTGTCAGCACTATGATCATCACTCATTCTGATTAGCTGGTGTTTCTATCAGTTGTAAAAACTATGGAATGTAACCTCTAAGGAGATACATGGTTTTTATATTTGCATTAGCTGAATTTTATTTGATGTACTGTGTAATAAAAATCTGTACTGATTATTGTTTACTGTGTGTCAGACACATTTGTACAATTTATATGAATTGATTTGCCTGTTCCTCACAATAACAATGTTAACTCAGGAAAATTTTTATCCCCATTTTACATATTAGGAAAATTGAGGCACTGAGAAGTAACTTAACTTGCCCTATTATTACATGAATAGTAAATTGTAGATTCTGTATTTGACCTAATACTAGCTGTTCCCATGGCCTATGCTTTTACAACAAATATCTTTTCCATTTCTAAATGGAAAACCATGTATTCATTTCATCACTCATTTGTTCTTCCATTTCCTTCAACAAATATTTCTTCAATGCCTAACATATCCTACTGTCCTGAGCTGGTTGAGGCTACAACTGTGTCATGAATACAGTATTTACCTATATTGAGAATTCTGGTAACTTCAACTATCCAAGTCATAGCCCTGAAGTTCTTCCTTTGAGAAAAAAAATTCATCCTTAGAGTAAAACAGCCATCACAAAGGTACCTGTCTTCATCCCACTATAACATGTTGTGCTCACTGCTACTACAGAATTGTATTCATACACCCAGCAAATATTGGCTGTGCCCACTCCACAGGGACTGAGTATACTGCCAAGTACAAGTAACAGGGTTTCTAGGTTACTTCCCACCTCCTTAGCCTGTGAACTGTATCAACAGCAGAACCTGCTTCTCTTTTCCTACACTATTCCAAACGCCCAGAACAAGGGTGAATTACGGCCAGCTAAACTGTGTGGTCCAAACCCGGCCCCTACCTGTTAATGTAAATGACATTTTTATTGGGAAATAGCCATGTTCATTGATTTCTGTACTTTTTATGGCTGCTACACAGCAAAGCTGAGTAGCTGCAAGAGCGTATGGCCCACGAAGCTCAACAATTTACTACGTGGCCCTTTACAAAAACAGTTTGCCAACCCCTGGCTTAGAACATGTAAGATATCCATAACCCCAAACTCTCAATAAATATTAGAGGAAGAATGAATGACACACTGGCAGGCCAAGGGTGATGGTGCTAAGTCGTTGGCAAATACAGAAGAATCATTCATCTGTTTCACAAACAAATGAGATCTTAAATTATTAAGTAACAAGAATGATCCTTCATTATTCAAGATTAAATTATTTTCAGTGAAATTTGTATCTGTAGTGTTCAGGGTAATGTCAGTTGCTTAATAAATACTTTGGCATAAATGTGTTGATATTTGATTAAAATCTGGATCAAACGGACAGTGTTTCAGAAAATAAGCTCAGAAGGAGTTGAAAAACATAAATCAAACCAGAATCATAAAGATAATTCAAAAACTAACCAAGAATATTACCAAAAAAGGGACCAGCCTCAAATGGCTTCAAATATGCGTTCTTTAAAAATCTTCAACAAATTCCCATACAATTTCTACTGGCCTAAATCAGAAAAGAACAATTTTTTCCAGTTGTTTTTACAATGTATGCTGCGTCACTGACACTGAACACTAACAAAGAAACTATAAAAAAGAAAATCACAGATTTACTTTAGAAACAGAAGTTATAAATAAAAATCTTACCAAATCAAATTTAACAGTAAGCAAACAAATATAACAATATGAAAAACAGACTTTATTCTGAACCATCCAGTAGTATAAAGTCTATTACCATAATTCATAAGAGCAATAGGATGAAGAAGAAAAATCTGCAAGATTATCTTCATGGCTGTAAATAAAAGCATGTGATGAGCCTGCGTGTGGTGGCTCATGCCTGTAACCCCAGCACTTTGAGAGAACTGAAGTTGGCAGATCTCTTGAGCCCAGGAGTTTGAGCCCAGCCTGGGCAACATGGTGAGACCATGTCTCTACAAAAAAATACAAAAATTATTTGGGCATGGTGGCATGCATCTAAGTTGCAGCTACTCAGAAGGCTGAGGTGGGATGATTCCTTGAGCCCACAAGGCAGAGGCTGAAGTGAGCCATAACTGAGCCACCATACTCCAGCCTGGATAACAGAGCAAGAGCCCATCTCAAAAAGAAAACAAAACAAAAAGCATGTGATGCCACTCAGCAATCATTCATGATAAAAAGTTTAGTAAAGTGGAATAAAAGAATACACAGAAAACCTAATAATGTTTTCCTCAAAACAACAGTCCATATTATACCAAATAGTAAAATAACAGAATCACTACATTAAGATACTAACGTTAAGAAGACAAAGGTATTTAATCAGCATCATCAGCATGCCAATAGGCAAGAAATAGATATGTGAAGCGTACCTATTTGAAGAGATAAGTTTGTTTGAGGATAATGTTATTTCATATGTCGAAAAAAGAAGAAAATCAACTGAGAAACAATTATAGACAGTAAGAAGGCTTCTGTGGCCGGGCGCAGGGGTTCACACTGTAATCCCAGCGCTTTGGGAGGCCAAGGCCCTTGGATTGCTTGAGCTCAGAAATGTGAAATCAGCCTGGGCAACATGGCAAAATCCCGTCTCTACTAAAAACACGAAAATTAGCTGTGCATGGTGGCATGCACCTGTAGTCCCAGCTACTTTTTGGAAGGCTGAGGTGGGAGGATGGCTTGAGCCAGGGAGGCAGAGGTTATAATGAGCAGAGATTGTGCCACTGCACTCCAGCTAGGATGACAGAGCCAGACCCTGTCTAAAACAAAGAAAAATAGGCTTCTGTTTTAGGATGAGCATTTCCAAACATATGTTCACCTTTTCACTCTCCCCAGATATTAAGCATTAACTTTGAAATGACCCTCAGATGCTGAAAAGGAGTTAAAAATATCTAGATATATTTTAGAAATATTTATAAACTCCAAGCATCAGAAAGTCAATCTAAAAGCCACCCCTACTCCCCTACACACACACACACACACACACACACACACACACACACACACAGGCATACACATAGGTTTACCTATAAGTGGAACAATATATATATTTTTTACACTTTAAGTTCTGGTGTACATGTGCAGGATTGTTACACAATTATACACATGCCAGGGTGATTTGCTGCATCTCCCCTGTCATCTACATTAGGTATTTCTCCTAATGTTATCCCTCCCCAATCCCCCTACCCCCTGCTATCCCTTCGCCAGCTCCCCCACCCTGCAACAGGCCCCAGTGTGTGATGCTCCCCTCCCTGTGTCCATGTGTTCTCATTGCTCAACTCCCGCCTATGAGTGAGAACATGCCGTATTTGGTTTTCTGTTCTTGTGTCCATTTGCTAAGAATGATGGTTTCCAGCTTCATGCATGTCCCTGCAAAGGACATGAACTCATACATTTTTGTGGCTGCAAAGTATTTCACGGTGTATATGTGCCACATTTTCTTTATCCAATCTATCATTGGTGGGCATTTGGGTTGGTTCCAAGTCCTTGCTACTGCAAACAGTGCCACAATGAGTATACGTGAGCACATGTCTTTATAACAGAACAATTTATAATCAGTATTCCTTGTAGCAACAATAGACTTAAAATTCAGTTAAAATATGTCTTCAAATTTCTAAGGAAAACTTATTTTAAGCCTAAATTTCTTTACCAAGTCAAACTAGCAGAAAGGCAAAATAAAGATATTTCAGAACTGTAAAGTACTCAGAAATGTACTATTTTGAACTATTTCAGAAAGGGAAATGGGCTCAAGCAAAAATAAAGAAATAGATAAATAAATTCAAGAACACATGGGAAGACACGGGGTCCAAGAAAAACTGAAGAGCAAAGAAATCATTAAAACCGTACTGAAACTGTAACACTTGTTAGTAAATGAAATCTAAGAAATTATAGACCATAAAATTAATTTTAAAAACATGTAATATATAAAAATACTTATATATCTAAAACTTTGTAAGGGTAGTAGGTAAGAAAAGTAAAAAAAAATGAGGAAACAACTGTGCTTCATTTATTATCTTGTTGGTTAAGTGGGTGATATGGTATAAACACTGATCATTGATTGATCTAAGACTTCATTGTAAACATAAGATGACAGCTGTCAGGGCTATTGCTGTCATCATGTAAAGGGAAACTGCCTGAGAATAAGAACTCCTCAAAGTAAGCTGAACTGAGAAACAGAGAAAGACACACTCCTGAAAAGATGATCTGATCCCCCATGGCCACTAATCATATAAGCCTGAACATTCGTCGTCTTTTCAGCAGTCTGAGCCAGTAAATCCTCCCTTTTATTATCCCAACCTAATTTGAGTTAAGTAGTTGATGTTTTCAGATATGAAAGGAAATGTAAAGTACCTACAAACTTATAAAAATTTATTTGAAAGTCTAACTCATTGATTCCCACCCAGCAGCTGAGCCACCTGGCCCCAGGGCACCTGGAAGTAAGTGCAGGTATGTGTGTTGGTTATGAGTTCTCACAAGCCAGAGATGCTGCGTATCTGCAGTGCTCAGGACAGCACTGTGCCAGGGGAGACTGCTCTGCCCAAAAGTCAGCACTGCCCCACTGAGAGGCAGTGACCTAGATG